GTCTTCACTCTGCTAAAGCTGTGTGGTTCTTTCCCTCAGGGCCGCTGCATCTCAGTTTAAATCCCTTCACCAATCTTCCTCTGCAGCCCCATTTCCGACTCCTCCCACACTCGGCCTCACATGCCAGAACTCATATCCTTCCAGCTTTACTGGGCTGCCATCATGAGTCTGGGCAGGTGTGGCTCCATGTCCTGGAGCCAATCTTCTCCAAGCTCCCACGCAGGTGCTGTAACTCGGGGGACCTGCCCCCCAGTTACGTCTTGGTGGGGAAGTTACTTCCATTCCCCTGGCTCAGAGCATGGCCACAGCTATTTAACATATCTATGTAACCAGTTAAAAGTTCTAGATATGTTAAATGACCATGCCAGAGGTTAGCTACAAAGCTGTTGCTATGCAAAACAGCTCTCAATGGCCCTGCTCCATTTGTCCCTTCCCCCAACCCACACCCTGGGGGGGGGGGTGAAGACATCCTAAAATCTCCTAGACACCTTGAGTTCTGGACCCCATTTTAAATACCCATTTGGGGTCCCCCCTCTTGGCTGCACCCTGTAACACCAGGGTCTTAGAGGTAGACTAGAGTTTTCAGGGCCTTTTTTGCCTTTGTTCAAGTTTTTGTGATTTATGCCCACAGGCATGGGGAGTTGTTTAGAGTACTGAGTGGGGCATGGCATTGTGTGATTGGCATTTAAGGATTACTCTAGGTCCTTGGAGGAGAGTAGACCGGGGAGGCTAGCAATGAGGCTGCTGTAGTTACCAGAGGGAGTGATTTATAAGAATCTTTGTTACAAGGTCTGCAATTAGTAGGGGGTCTCATGTCTGTAGTTCTCCACAACCAGGCTGTTTTCTGGCATTTCCTTCACAACACGGTTATTTTTCCCCATTCTGCTTCTCTCTCAAAGGCTCTCTTCATTTTTGACGCCTGCCTTCACTTTCTTTTGCCAACTTCCAATATTATTTAACATCTGGCTCAAGATTCCTGACTCTAAGAAGTATTCAGTGACAGACTTGATTCCACATCAGTCACTGCCTTTGCTTTGTGCATATTTTGAACTCTGCATGTTTACTTTTAGCTTCGCCACCTTACTCCTAATGAAGCTTACTCAAATGTCTCACTCAGATACTTCTGTCCTGGCTAAATTCCAGAGACACTTTAACTGAGACAGACCAGAGAGTTAAATCTCCACGTTTGAACATTAGGATGCCAGGGTCTCATAGCATCTACCATGCCCTGATATCCAAAATTGCAGCCTTGAGATGAAGTATATTTCCTGCTGCTGACCACTTGGAGTCCTGTTTAGTTTGCACTTGGCTAGTTTTTGCTGCAGTAACAAATAGCGTGGGTATTGCAATGGCTTATGACAAGAGAGGTTTAGTTCTTGATCACACTACTTGACTATTGCTGGTATGGGCTCTGCTTCATTTATTATTCTGGGACTCAGACTAATGGAACGTGGCCTCTTTGTGGAAGATTACCATTGACCATGGTTTATGAGCTGTCTTGGCATTAAATGCTCTGGCCTCAAAGTCATATACCTCTCTTCTATCGACAGCTCAGGACAGAATAAAGCTGACTTCAAGGATCCTGAGGTGGAGGAGGACAGGAAGTGCAATCCTATGATGTATTGGATGGGCTTGAGCTAGAACATTTGACAGAAAGCAGGAATGACTAGTATTTTCACTGTGATCTGGGGCGGGGGGATGGTCAGTGCTCAGTGGTGCCCCAGATCTGATAACCAAATTATAATCCTAGAGTTTAGGAGTCCAAGTCCTCTCTCTATGGCTTGTTCTGTAGACCTGAGATTCTCCTGGGCTTCCCATCTGAGGTCCTGTTCTAATTAATAATCAGCTTGTTTCCCCCAGTCCCTGATAATGCTGTCTTCTTTTTTGGTCCCCATCCCTAAGGACTGGAGTCCCATCTATCCACATGTTAGAGCCCAGCTACCTGTAGGCAAATCATGACATGGGTCCGAATTCCAGCATCCTTTCCCTAGTGGTCTCGTCTGCTCCAGTCATTAGCACCACCCCTTTCTTGCTGCCTGCAAACAACCAAGCATACCACCAGAGTTTCTGGGTGTGTTCTGATTTTGTTCTAGCCATAAGAGGTTAAATTTCTAATCTCTTCCCTCCTCCATCACCTATTTTATTTTTTGCTCAGCATCTAATGTGATGTGACACAGTGCATATCGTGAGTATTTAATAACCACTCCTTCAGTACATGAATGGGGAGACACGAACTTATCTTGGGACTCATAAAGTGTCACTAAATGCTTTGGTATTTCATCAGGAAAATAGGGTAATAATACTTAATTCAGGAAGGCATTAGGAGGATCAGATATGATCAGTGTGGTATGTACTGGAATCGACACCCCTTCACAAGAAATGTCAATAATATTAATGACACGATGTGGCTGAGTCACAAGCCACCAGATGTAGAGTAGCACCCTTTAGTGTGCCCCAGTGACATTCTTCAGTGAGGGATGAAATTTTTGGTTTCTTACCTCTCACCTACCTCTGAGCTACCCGCCTGCAGCCTTCCCCTAATGTTCAAGCAAAACAGCACCTTGATTTACTTGTTTTTTTTTTTTTTGTTGGGAGGGGCAAGAAAGGTGGATTCTGGAACAAATATACGGATAGCTTTTTCACTCTTCTTCTTTGATCATTTTTTTGGCATAGACATTGCATTGGATTGATTTTGACTCGATGCTTCAAAACTTCTTTTATAACTTCATTGCCTTATGAAAGATTCTTAAGTAAAAATGAATAGAAAATGCAAATCAAAATACTGTACCTAAGCCTTTGAAATCTGGTATCTGTTCGGTTATCATTTTAATCACTCAACACAACATAATGAACTGTAATAATGTCCTGGCCCAAAAGCATGTCTAAGGAAGAGAGAGCTGGACCTGTCAGACTGCCTGTCATCACACTGAAAGGCCAAAGGAGAAATATAGTGATGTTCTGACTGGTATCAGATCTTGATGAAATTTCAGTTACTGAAGCATTCGAAGTGAGTAACTTGATCAGTAAATTAATTTTGTTGTAATCTGTAGACTACAGCGTGGTTCATTTTATAGCAGGTGACATGTTAACAGGTTTTGCATTCTTTTAGCTAAAAAAAATTACCAGTTGTTAAAGGACTGTCCACCACTCACCATTAGTAGAGAGTTCCAAAGTCTTTTGGCTTAAAATTCTGCAGATTTCAAAGAGTTGTTCTGGGAGGGATTCAGCACAGCAATGAGAGTTACCTGTGTTTCTTTGCATGTTGTAGTAATCCAGGTGCGGTCTACTCTAGCTGTTGGCCTGTGACAGAGTAAAAGCACAGAAAATATTCTTTGGAAAAACAGCAAAAGTTCAAATTTTATTCTGAAAATATAAATACACCGTAATTTACTTGTTCATTCTTACTTTGATTCTCGCAACAGTTAATCAATAATGATAGTGAGGATGAGACTTTGATATTATTTTGTTAGTGACTTTTTTTTGACATTTTTCAAAATTGTCGTTCAAGTACAGTTGTTTCCATTTCTTCCCCACAAGTCCCCCCACCCCAGCCACCCCACTTCCCACTCTCAATCCTATCCCTGTTTGGTTTTTGTCCATGTGTCCTTTATAGTTGTTCCTGAGAACGCTTCCTCCTCCCCACCCATTATTATCCATCCTCACCTCCCCTCTGGTTACCGTCAGTTTGTTTTTAATTTCCATGTCTCTGGTTATATTTTGCTTGCTTGTTTGTTTCGTTAATTAGGTTCTACTTAAAGGTGAAATCATATAGTATTTGTCCTTTACTGCCTGGCTTATTTCACTTAGCATAATGCTCTCTAGTTCTATCCATGCTGTCGCAAAGGGTAGGAGCTCCTTCTTTCTTTCTGCTGGGTAGTATTCCATCTTGTAGTGATATACATTTTAGAATTTCACCTACTCAGTGGTTATGAGACTCCACTGCAAAATTTAAATCTGTCTAGTACCACACTGCCATAATTGATTTTTTGAAAATCTCAAGTAAATTACGTATCTTGTTCAATTGAAATATGTGTTCACTCTAGATATTAAGTTGAGTTTTAAATTCATTGGCTTATCCATTTAGGCCATGGTTAGTACTAGTGAATCTTCTAACTCATGTGGGTTCCTTATAGCTAAGTGACCACAGGTCCTTTTCTACTTGGGATAGTGTTATTTCTGTGAAGTTAAATTAATACTGCTTTTTTTGCTTTTAGAAGTATTCTGATTTGGAGTAACACATTATATCATCACCCTACTTAGTCCCAGCCATTCCGGTGTCATTGGCTTCGTTTCAGCAGGGAATGGTAAAGCACTGTCTCTTATGCTTTACAAATGCTTTTGGTATATTTTTCACAACTTCTGTGTTTTGTGGACCCTAGGGGCATTTTACTTTGCTTCTAGCTAGTAATGGAATGGCAGTGAAAACCTCTAGCTAAAGAATGAATTCATAAGAGAATTTCAGAAATGATAAAAATGTACATAATCAATACATGTTATACTATACTACAGGAGGACAGGAATCTCAACTCTTTTATTCACCATTGAATACCTAGCACCTTGCCCAATGCTTTAGTATAGTAGAGATTCAATAGTGCTGGGTGAATGAATAAGCAATTTAAAAACTCACCCATTTCTTTTCACTTAAAAAAAATTGAGATTTCTTCACACACATAGTTTTGTTCCTAAAGATACGAAGACACTGACACTCCATGACCACTGCTGGAATCATTGTTCATTAAAGTATTTCTCAGATGTTGTTTGAATAAGGATCACTTCACATTTGGCCAAAAAGTGAAACTCTTAGATCCTGCCCCTGGGAGTCTGGTTCAGTAAGTCTGAAATGGCCCCAGGACATAATGGGCATCCCATGCAGGATCCTTTCCAGCTCCGATTCTGAAATTTTTGTTTCACTTTGTTTTCAAAAGGACATTTGCTTGACTTTGCACTGGGCTGTCCATCTTTCTTCAAAGTCACTAGTTGTGGAGAGAATCGTAGACTGAAAAGGCAACTGGGTTCCACTGTACAACTGATTTTATCATTTCCCCTCTCTGGACACAAATTTGCTCCACCTTAAATCGACAAGGTTGAAGGACAAGATCTTTCGGACTTCCTGCAACTCTATTATAAGGTAATTCTTATCTTTGAAACCTGACAGATATCTGGTCACATAAAAAGTGCTACATGAGACATTTTTAACAAAAAAAGCATAAGTACCTTGTCTTTGTTGCTTCATTTGCCAGTAAATTATCTATGGATTAATCACTACTGAAAAGATAGCTTTCTGTACCAATTTTATTTGGGATTCACTGGATACTTGTGTTGGGAGTTGACTGATAACTTTTCAGTTGAGGTAGAAAGTTATTTCTTAAATCTTGCCAAGATTTAAGATGTCTTTTAGATCCCGCTAAAGCTATTCCTACAGATAATAAAATAAACCCCTTTGTTTTTGAGTAAAATACACAAAAGTTAGAAGAGCTTCACCTACCCATGTGTCCTGTTACTAAATTCTAAGCAGGATCATAAGTAATCTTCTGCAAACCATGCCAAATAGATCCCACAAAAGGGAAGAGAATAGACCCCGGTGAATACATTCACAGGGATTTGTTTGTCAGACTAACTACCTATATTTGGAGGTTGAGGAAGTAAGCCAGGTTCAGTCCATTTTTTTCTAGAAGCAGAGAGAGAGAGAATAACTTGAAAAAAATTTAGAGCTGGGAGGAACCCAAGAAGTAAAGGCCTGATGAACAGTGAGTCACAAGTGTCTAAAAGTCACTGCCAGTAAGGGGGGAAAGATGGTCACGTCTGCTTTAGTAAAAGGAGGAAGAGCACATTGGCTTATCACAGAATATGTCTTGGCCTCTTGCTGAAGTTGGAAGGAAGGATTCTGTGAAGTGATGTGGTAGGAGGGAGAGGGAAGAGTCGTACACTTGCCGCTTTTCTGCTAGGCAGGCTGCCTGGTGGAGTAGCCCTGAGAGCGTACTCTCAGAGGTGGGATTGATTTTCTTGCATTCTTATGTCATTGCTTAACACCCCACTTCTTCCTTAAGGTGGATCCCATATAAGGAATAATTATTTACTATTTTGTGTAATCCACACACCGATGTCTCATAGTAGACTTAATACTAATCAACATAATTATTTCTCAAGGTTGCAGCTATAAAGAGCAATGAACAGGCTGAAGAATGTTTCTGGAGTTGAGCTGGTGACACTGGCTGCTGAAAAATGTACAGAAAATGTGGGAAATACATAGTGAACATTGATGACTCTGAAAACCAGCCGGTAAGTATTGGTGGCACCTGTGTGATATGTTCTGACAGCCCAGAGTCTTGTTTCCAATATTTATAGAACTCTAATATTTTATATTACAACATGGTCTTTTTCCAAAAGAATTCTTAATCAAAGTTTTATATGGAAACCAATTTTTAGATTATTATTTATTAATTAGAATACTTGTATTTTACGCAATGTTTGCATAATTGGGACATCTATTTTAACACTCATTAATCTCAGATATTAGCAATTTTGGGTAACAATTTAATAGTCTGTTGAAATAAGTCTCTACAGCTATCATAATTCACATATAAGCCAACATTCTGCATTTGATTGCATTAACAAATTATGTTTTTAAAATGTGATATATAGATTTTTGTGTTAACTGCTTAGTTTTTTAGTGTAATATATAGATTTGTTGGAACTCAAATATTCCTACATATTTTGAAAGTCAGAAGATAGTCTTACAGTGAAGATTAGGCGTAGGAATCAAATTATCTAGCAAATCCTTTAGACTGGCTTCTCCTTAACTATTTAGGAATTTATTTTCTCGATAAAGAATTATATTAAGGTGAAATATTAGAGTTCAGTTACATACAATATTATTTGACTATTGCTTATGTTTGTAAAAGAAAAAAAAAACCAGTACTGTGTATTTTGGGATTGCCTTTTATGCAGCTGACTAGAGCCCTTGATAATAGAAGTTGAAATAGAAATGTACTGAATGAGATCAGTGTAAGTGTGATTGGACAGTTAGATTGTGTGAGGAAGCACATTTCTGTCCTGGGTGCTAACATGAAATTACAGGGCAGAGAGAGTGACCGCTTGGTTCTAGGTCAGTCCCTTCTCTCCTGAAATGTTCTCCACGGTGCCCCTGGCCTGGCGACCCTGCCACTGTGTCTACACAGTGTTAAGACACTCAGATAAAAAGGTCCCTTTAGTAAGAAATTAGTCATCCTGAAGATTTTCCCAGACAATGCTGAGAGTTTTCAAATAAAGGGCACAGATCTTGATGACTGACTGAATGTTGCAGTTTACATCTGGATATGTGGACGCACACTGAGGGCCATTTTTAATCCATTTTCACCAGTGGATTTGAATAGCAGTGGAAGGTCATATAAAAAAGGATGATTTAAGAGTTCGTTTTTCCCTCTTAGAAAACACAAAATGGTAAATTAATCTCTTTTCAGGTATGAGCAGAGAATTTAAAATTATATTTCATAAACATAGCTGACTCATATTAGATGCATATAACAGAGATTATTGGCTTTTACCAAGAGCTAATTAACTATAATTCATAGATATCCAACCGCTCAAAATTTTAACTTTTAGAGATACACTTGTATTAAGATAGAGGGAAAACTAAAGCAGTGAGGATTATTCTGCCCCCAGAATCTCACTTCAACTCTTTAGATCTTAGTTTTCGCATTTTGAATATGACCCAAGGAAGCTGTTTTTGGTAACCTTAAGGTCTCTAGAATATTTACTGTGAGACATTTGTTCTTACATAATCTCCTTCTGCCAGCTTGCCACATAATGACATTTAACAAATTACATTAGATATTATGAGGATAAATGATAATGTTTATTCCTGGATTTTAACATCAATAATTATATAAAATAAATAATTGTACCTTATGACTATCTCGATTTCCTTGTTTTAAGAAGAAATTATTATGAATGTATTCACTTATTCTTTCAGTCAGGTTTCAAATGAATTTATTTGATCAAATATGCTGTAATATATCATGATCTGGGTTATATTTATCAGAATTATATTACTTTAGCCATCAAATATAATAGCTCCTATTTTTTCCTGTTCTTTTCTATGTATAGCCATTTATGTGCACAAAAAATCATGAACATCTCAGTTCAGCTTGTCAGTTTTCAGTGTCCACTGATGTGGTTGGTGATGTCGATACTGATTTAACTGGTGTCTGCACCAGTGCAGAGACCCTTGGACCCTCAGAATTTCCGAGCAGAGAATTACAGCACGGTCAGGTAATGTCTGGGACAACTCCGTTTCTCTGGGTTATGATGTAATACATGTGGAAATACTCTTGATGTGATATTTTGGATAAAAACCATTCAATCAATTAAAGATAACATTGTCCTTTGAAAATCTGCAGCATTCTTTAAACAAGTCAGGTCACTGAGAGGGAATGCAAGAGACATAGATTTATGTTATGGGATTCTTCATTTAAAGAGTTAATAATTGTGATGAATAAGTAAAAACATGTGTAATTTGGAGAAAATATATGAGTCAAAGAAAATAAAGTTTTGGACTCCCCCCGTTTTTTTTTGAGGGCTGAATAGGTGATGACAGCAAATGCACTGGCAGTGAATGACATTGTCACCCTTGCTCAGGTGGGAGAGGAAGTCCTGTGTTAAGGCCTCGGCGCCCTAGTTGTGGGTGATCTGCCTCACTCTCCTTCCCTCTCTGCCTCTGAGCCAGCCACGGGCCTTCTGTTAGCCCCCCCTGGCTCTGACCTTGTGTGTTGGCAGCTTGACTTAGAAACCATTTGGCACTCTCAGTTTGGTATCCGGAAGCAGATTTTCTGTATTCATGACCCTTTTTCTGGTTATTCTGGTTTCTTCACCTGAAGGTCTGATCTCTGAGTTTCCCCACAACCCCACCGCCCTAAGGTGAAAACTTGACTCTGAATGATTGATGATGATGTTTTGTAGTTTAGTTTAATGCTCCTAGCTATGACTCCGCCCCTCCTCTGGTTAATCTTACTGTAGAGGCAGTTTGGAGAGATTCTGATTAAATGGGAGAGGACAAACACTTTATGTCAAGAGGTGTTGGGGAAGAATGCTTTTGATAGATAGGAGTTATTTAGAGAACATGTCTCTGATAACCTCAAACAAACCAGACCCATCAGAGAGCTGAACACTATTTTAGATGCCTTTACTGAGATGAAAAATGTGTGGTCTGGGAAGTTTAGAATGTTTTAAGAATTACACAGCTAGTTAGTGGCAGTAATAGCACTGGATCACAGGTCTCAGGTCAGATTAACATGAGTTTCTATAAATCTTGCTCCTCTGTTTAAAGATTCAGACAAAAAATGAGGGCAATTTCCTTCCTTCTATGAGCTGTGAGAATGGTCCTTCCTCTCCTCCCCCTTTGACTTCCTTTCTAAGATTGGATGCCATGGGGCAGGAGGTGCCATTTGTCTTTGGGATCTCTCAGTTGGCACCCTGAGTCCCGTTGGCCATTGTACCTAGTGCCCTTGGACTGCTTCTGATTGCCTAGTGGGTGCTCCTCTCAACACCCACAGTGAGTTTACTATCTGGGACCCTGCTCCAAATTTCACAACATTTAAGGGCTACTCTGCATGCTCCAAAAACTGCTGCCCTGTGTTTGTTTCCTTTAGTGATCTGTTTTCAGTTATAAAACAAGGGATAATAATGAACTAATTAGTTAACTCAATTTTTTTAATAGTAAGTGTAGGAAAATGTTGCCACTTTTTTTTTTTTTTTTACTATTTGCAGCAACCCTATGTAATAGGTGATATTATCCTCATGAAGGAGTCATGGCTTTACAAGATAATGAAAATTTCCAAATATCATCACCCATTTAGTGGAAGGTGGAGTTAAGATTTAAACCTGAATCTGTTAGGTTCCATGCCTGTGCTCCTAATTACTGCAGCAAACTGCCTTCTCTGCAAGAATTTAATGATGGAAGACATTTCTGATTTTAACTTTCTCAACAACACTTTGAGGTAGATATAATTATCCCCCCTTTTGATATAAGGCAGGTTGAGAATTAGACAAGTTAGAAAACTTGCTCAGAATAGTAATGGTATGGGATTTAAATTTAAGACTCTCTGAAGACTTAGTTATTTTGCATTATGTAGTATTTCCTCTACATTGTCAAATTATATATATATAAATATATATAATTTATAAATCACATATTCTTACATATAACTTATTATGTATATTATTTTAGAATTTAAAAAGTAATTTTACCGACATTAATCTTTATTCTAATCTTGTCACATACATTCTTATGGGTGAAAGAATAGGATCCAAGAGGTGAGTGTGTTGCTCAGTGGAAATAGCTGGTGACCGTAGAAGTGAGATTTTAACAAATATTTTCAGACTCTGATTTCCATCTTGCCAAATAGTAACCTGTATGAAAAGTTAGCTAGAAAATTTGATAAACCACTTAAAATGGACAGCTCCAAAGCAGCTAAATTTCTGATAGCTGACAAGTCAGAAGGGGAGGAAGATTTATTCAGATGATCTTTTGGGTTACTCAGATACCTGTATATGGCAGTCACCCACACATATATAGATACTTCTTTTGATAGTGAGGGGAATAAAACATTTCTAAGAAGAAATCCATTCTTCTTTTTTTTTTTTTTTTTTAGTTTGAGATACAGCTATATGAAAAGAAAGCATGAGAAGTCAGTGGAAATTTTTTTGTTCCTATATTAGAGACAGACAAGGACCAAGTTTTTCCTAAGTGAAATCTTAAATTTGAGTCACTCTTTATCATTAGATACTATTAATAGTATTCTTTGTGTATACTGTCTTTCAGTGAGGTTATTTTTATATATATGTATGCGCACACACACACACACATATAAAAGGATTACCAATGGCACTAATGTTTTTGAAACATTTGGCTTATCTTCAGTAATTTTGTATAATCCTTTCCAGGTGACACGAAATTTCTTTAGTGATTGGTCTCTGTGGAAAATCTTCCTGGCTTGTCTCTTAGCCTGTGCACTAACAACAGCAATTGGAGTACTCATAGTGTGCTTGGTATATAATGGAAGAAATAATAATGCCTCCATTGTTATCCAGTTTCCTTCAAACCATGGGACAACCTCTTCTGCAACTGAAACTACTTCTGAGTCCACAGTTCCCACTACTGTGACAGGTTTTACCACACTGTCCACTTCAACTAGCATCACTACAGCCACTGGTTACACTTCAGCAGAACCTACCAGTAGAGCAACCACTGCTCGAACAGAAACTACAATAGCAGGAGGCACCACTTTATCTGAAACAAGTACAGCGGTGACTGCAGGCACTGCAGCTGTGGCTACAACCACAGTAGCCAGCAAGACTGCTCCTACTGAAACTACAACCACAGCAGCAGCCACAACTTCCACTGTAGAAACTACCACAACTGCTTCTAGCACTACCAGTAAAGTGATAACAGCAGCCACCAGTGCCACTTTTACTGAACCTACCACCACAGGAGCAGCCATCACTTCAACTGAGCCAAAAATCACTACAGCGGCCACCACATCAACTGAGCTGACTACCATAACAACTGCTAGCACTACCACTGAGGCTACAACAACAATAGGCACCACAACTATTTCTATTGAACCTACAACCACCACTGAAGCCACCAAGTCAACAGAACCAATGGCCACAAGTGGCAGCACTACCAGTGAAGCTACAGCCACAATGGCCATCACTACCTCTTCTACCAAACCTACAACCACAGTTGCAGCCACCACTTTAACTGACTCTACAACCACCACGGGAGACATCACTATGACTGAACCAAACACAATGACTGCCAGCACTACCACTGAGGCTCCAACCCCAATAGGCACCACTACCACTTTTACTGAACCTGCAACCACTACAGCAGCCACAAGTAAAACTGAAGCCACAACCACAGCAGCAGCCACATCGTCAACTAAACCAAATACAACAATGACTGCCAACACTACAACTGAGGCTAAAACCGCAATGACCAGCACTACGGCTTCTATGGAACCTACAAACACAACAGCTGCTACCACCTCAACTGAACCAACAAGCACAACAGTAGCCTTTGCTTCAACTGAACCAAATAGTGCAACCACTGCCAGCGCTACCACTCAAGCTACCACTACAACAGTTACTACCACCCCAGCCAGCACTAAATCTACAACCAGTACAGTAGCAGACATCACTTCTGCTGAACCTACTACCACCGTATCAAAAGCCACCTCAATAGAAACACCTACCACAACTGCTAGCACTACCACTGAAGCTACAGCCACAACAGCCACCATTACAGCTTCTACTGAAACTGTAGCCACCACAGCAGCTACCACATCAAGTGAACCAACTGCCACAACAACTTCTAGCACTATCACTGAGCCTACAACCATAGTTACTGCTAACTCTTCTAACAAACCTGCCACAACCATAGCAACTATCACTTCAAGTGAACGAGCTACCACTACAGCTGCCAGTACTACAACTCAGGCTACCTCCACAATGTCCACCACTGCTGCTCCAACCAAACCTACAGCAGAAACCACTTCAGTTGAACCCTCAACCACAACAGCAGCTACCACTTCAACAGAACCAGCTGTCACAATGAGTGCCAGCACTACCACTGAGGCTATCCCCACAACGGCCACAACTATGACTTCTAGTGAACCTACAACAACCACAGTAGCCACCACTCCAGGTGAACCAACTGCCACATCAACTTCCAGCACTACCATTAAAGCTATAACCACAATGATAACTCCCACTTCTGCCAAATCTACAATCACCACAGTAACAGACACCACTTCAATTGAACCAGCTACCACAGTATCAGCCCCCACTTCAACAGAAACACCTGCGACAACTGCCAGCATTACCACTGAAGCTACAACCTCAACAGGCACCACTATGAATTCCACTGAACTTGCCATCACCACAGCAGCCACCACTTCAACTGAACCTACTACCACAACAGTAGCCACCACTACAATAGAACCAATTACCACAACTGTCAGCACTACCACTGAGGATACAACAACAACCATCACTACTGCTTCTACCAGATCTATAGCCACCACAGTAGCAGATGTCCGTCCAGCTAAACCTAGAACCACCATATTAGCCACCAGTTCAACAGAACTATCTACAAGTGCCAGCACAACTACTGAGGTTACAACCACCCCAGCCAGCACTAACACTTCTATTGATTGGTCATCCACCACAGCTGTCACCACTTCAACTGAACCTACAACCATCACAGGAGCCACCACACCAATTGATCTGACTATCACAACAGTAGCCACTACTTTAACAGAACCAGCTACCACAACTGACAGCACTACCACTAAGGCTACAACCACAATGGCCACCACCATGACTTCTGCTGAACCTGCCACCACCACAGCAGCCACCATTTCAACGGAACCAACAATCACAACAGTAGCCACCACTTCAACAGAACCAATCACCAAAACCACTGTCAGTTCTACTACTGAGGCCACAACAACAATTAGTACTACAGCTTCTACCAAATCTACAACCTCCAAAGCAGACACCACTGTAGCTGAAGCTCCTAATACCACATCAGCCACTGCTTCAACAGAACCACCTACCACAGTTGCCAGTACTAGCACTGCGGCTACAACCAAAACAGCCACCACTATGACTTATACTGAATCTGCATCCACCACAGCAACCACCACTTCAAGTGAACCAACTGCTACAACAACTTCCAGCACTCCCACTGAGCATACAAGCATACCAGACACCACTGCTGTGTCTGCTGAACCTATAGCTACTACAGCAACAGATACCACTTCAACGGAAGATACAACCACAACCACCATAGAAGCCACCACTTCAAGTAAACCAATTACCACAACTATCAGCACTACCAGTAAAGTGACAACCATGCTAGACACCACTACCACTTCTACCAAACCTATAACCACCACAGCAGGTACCACTTTAACTGCCATTACTACCATTCAGGTTAACACCACAACAGCCAACACTAGCACTTCTACTGAACCTACAACCACAACAGCAGCCTCCACTTCAACTGAAACAACTACCACAGCTTCTGCCAGCACCACCACTGAGGCTGTAACCATATCAGATACCACTACAATGTCTACTGAACCTGCAGCCACCACAGAAGCCACCTCATCAAGTGAACCCACTGCCACAACACATTCCAGCACTACACTGGAGGCCTCATCCGTGTTGGACACCACTATGGCTGCTACTGAAACTGCAACAACCACAGCAGCCACCTCATCAAGTGAATCCACTCCCACAACTTCCAGCACTAAAACAGAAGCTACAACCATATTGGATACCACTACAACTGCTACTGAACCAGTAAACACTAAAGGCACAGATACCACTTCAACTGAGGCTACAACCATGACCACAGCCTCCATTTCAACTGAAATGATGACCACTGCTGCTACAAGCACTACCACTGAGGCTACAAGCATAGTAGCCATGACTACGACTTCTGCTGAACGTGCAACCACAACACCCACCAATGGTTCAAGTGAACCCACTACCATAACACCTTCCAGCACTAAAACTGAGGCTACTACCATGTTGGACACAACTACTGCTGCTACTGAACCTGCAACCACTTCAACAACAGATGCCACCTCAACTGAAGCTATAACTACCACAGCAGCCTCTAGTTCAACTGAAACAACTACCAGTGCTGCTGATAGCACTACCACTGGGGCTACAACCACAATAGCCACAACTAGGATTTCTTCTGAACCAGCAGGCAACACAGCAGCCACCACATCAAGTGAACCCACAGCCACAACAACTTCTAGCACTACAACTGAGGCTACACCCATGTTTGACACCACTATGGCTGATACTGAACCAGTAAACACTACAGCCACAGATACCACTTCAACTGAATCTACAACCACAGCTGCTCTCTTCATTTCAACTGAAACGATGACCACTGCTGCTACAAGCACTACCACTGAGGCTACAACCACAATAGCCACTAGTACCACTTCTGCTGAAACTGCAACCAAAACATCCACCAGTGGTTCAAGTGAACCCACTGCCAAAACAACTGCCAGCACTACAAATGAGGCTACAACCGTGTTGGAGAGCACTACTGCTGCTACTAAATCTGTAACCACTGCAGCAACAGATGCCACTTCAACTGAAGATACAACCATGACTTCAGCCTCTACTTCAACTGAAGCAATGACCACTGTTGCTGTCAGCGTTTCCACTGAGGCTACAACCACAATAGCCACCAGTATGACTTCTACTGAACCTGCAGCCACCTCAGAAGCCACCACTTCAAGGAAACCTACTGCTACAACACCTACCAGCACTACGACTGAGGCTATAACCATGTTGGGCACCACCACAGCTCCTATTGAGACCGTTACCACTACAACAACAGATGCCATATCAACTGAAGCTACAACCTCCATAGCATCTTCTACTTCATCTGAAACAACTACCACTGCTGCTGCCAGCACTACTGCTGAGGCTGCAACCACAATAGCCACCAGTACAACTTCTACTGAACATGCAGCCACCATGACCACCAATGGTTCAAGTGAACCCCCTGGCAGAACAGGTTCTAGCACTACAACTGAGGCTACAGCCACCATTGTCACCACTATGATTTCCACTGAACCAGCAAGCAACACAGCAGGCACCACATCAAGTGAACCCACTGCCAAAACAACTTCCAGCACTACAACTGAGGCTACAACCATGTTGGGCACCACTACAGCTCCTACTGAACCTGTAACCACTTCAATAAGAGATACCACCTCAACTGAAGCTGTAACTACCACACCAGTCTCTGCTTCAACCAAAACAAGTACCACTGCTGCTGCGAGCACTACCAATGGGGCTACAACCACAATAGCCATGACAACGAATTCTGCTGAACCTGCAACCACAACACCCACCAATGGTTCAAGTGAACCCAGTACCATAACACCTTCCAGCACTAAAACTGAGGCTACTACCATGCTGGGCACCACTACAGCTGCTACTGAACCTGCAACTACTTCAACAACAGATGCCACCTCAACTGAAGCTATAACTACCAAAGCAGCCTCTAGTTCAACAGAAACAACTACCACTGCTGCTGTCAGCACTACCACTGAGGCTACAACCACAATAGCCACCAGTATGACTGCTACTGAACCTGCAGCCACCTCAGAAGCCACCACTTCAAGGAAACCTACTGCTACAACACCTACCAGCACTACAACTGAGGCTATAACCATGTTGGGCACCACCACAGCTCCTATTGAGACCGTTACCACTACAACAACAGATGCCATATCAACTGAAGCTACAACCTCCATAGCATCTTCTACTTCATCTGAAACAACTACCACTGCTGCTGCCAGCACTACTGCTGAGGCTGAAACCACAATAGCCACCAGTACAACTTCTACTGAACATGCAGCCACCATGACCACCAATGGTTCAAGTGAACCCTCTGGCAGAACAGGTTCTAGCACTACAACTGAGGCTACAGCCACCATTGTCACCACTATGATTTCCACTGAACCAGTAAGCAACACAGCAGGCACCACATCAAGTGAACCCACAGCCACAACAACCTCCAGCAGTACAACTGAGGCTACAACCATGTTGGACACCACTACTACTGCTACTAAAGCTGTAACCTCTACAGTAACAGATGCCACTTCAACTGAAGCAAGGACCACTGCTGCCATCAGCACTACCACTGAGGCTACAACCACAATAGCCACCAGTATGACTTCTACTGAACCTGCAACCACCACAGAAGACACCACTTCAAGGAAAGCTACTGCTACAACACCTACCAGCACTACAACTGAGACTACAGACATTTTGGGCACCACTACAGCTCCTACTGAACCCGTAAGCACTTCAATAACAGATACCACCTCAACTGAGGCTACAGTCTCTACAGTGGCTTCTACTTCAACTGAAACAACTACCACAGCTGCTTCCAGCACTACCACTGGGGCTGCAACCACAATAGCCACCACTAAGATTTCTACTGAACCAGCAAGCAACACAGCAGCCACCACATCAAGTGAACCCACAGCCACAACAACCTCCAGCAGTACAACTGAGGCTACAACCATGTTGGACACCACTACTACTAAAGCTGTAACCACTACAGTAACAGATGCCACTTCAACTGAAGCAAGGACCACTGCTGCCATCAGCACTACCACTGAGGCTACAACCACAATAGCCACCAGTATGACTTCTACTGAACCTGCAGCCACCACAGAAGACACCACTTCAAGGAAAGCTACTGCTACAACACCTACCAGCACTACAACTGAGACTACAGACATTTTGGGCACCACTACAGCTTCTACTGAACCCGTAAGCACTTCAATAACAGATACCACCTCAACTGAGGCTACAGTCCCTACAGTGGCTTCTACTTCAACTGAAACAACTACCACTGCTGCTGCCAGCACTACCACTGGGGCTGCAACCACAATAGCCACCACTAGGATTTCTACTGAACCAGCAAGCAACACAGCAGGCACCACATCAAGTGAACCCACAGCCACAACAACCTCCAGCAGTACAACTGAGGCTACAACCATGTTGGACACCACTACTACTGCTACTAAAGCTGTAACCTCTACAGTAACAGATGCCACTTCAACTGAAGCAAGGACCACTGCTGCCATCAGCACTACCACTGAGGCTACAACCACAATAGCCACCAGTATGACTTCTACTGAACCTGCAGCCACCACAGAAGACACCACTTCAAGGAAAGCTACTGCTACAACACCTACCAGCACTACAACTGAGACTACAGCCATTTTGGGCACCACTACAGCTCCTACTGAACCCGTAACCACTACAACAACAGATACCACCTCAACTGAGGCTACAGTCTCTACAGTAGCTTCTATTTCAACTGAAACAACTACCACTGTTGCTGCCAGCACTACCACTGGGGCTGCAACCACAATAGCCACCACTAAGATTTCTACTGAACCAGCAAGCAACACAGCAGCCACCACATCAAGTGAACCCACAGCCACAACAACCTCCAGCAGTACAACTGAGGCTACAACCATGTTGGACACCACTACTACTAAAGCTGTAACCACTACAGTAACAGATGCCACTTCAACTGAAGCAAGGACCACTGCTGCCATCAGCACTACCACTGAGGCTACAACCACAATAGCCACCAGTATGACTTCTACTGAACCGGCAGCCACCACAGAAGACACCACTTCAAGGAAAGCTACTGCTACAACACCTACCAGCACTACAACTGAGACTACAGACATTTTGGGCACCACTACAGCTTCTACTGAACCCGTAAGCACTTCAATAACAGATACCACCTCAACTGAGGCTACAGTCTCTACAGTGGCTTCTACTTCAACTGAAACAACTACCACTGCTGCTGCCAGCACTACCACTGGGGCTGCAACCACAATAGCCACCACTAAGATTTCTACTGAACCAGCAAGCAACACAGCAGCCACCACATCAAGTGAACCCACAGCCACAACAACCTCCAGCAGTACAACTGAGGCTACAACCATGTTGGACACCACTACTACTACTACTAAAGCTGTAACCACTACAGTAACAGATGCCACTTCAACTGAAGCAAGGACCACTGCTGCCATCAGCACTACCACTGAGGCTACAACCACAATAGCCACCAGTATGACTTCTACTGAACCTGCAGCCACCACAGAAGACACCACTTCAAGGAAAGCTACTGCTACAACACCTACCAGCACTACAACTGAGACTACAGCCATTTTGGGCATCTCTACAGCTCCTACTGCACCTGTAGCCACTTCAACAACAGATACCACCTCAAATCAAGCTACAACCACCACAACAGCTTCAACCTCAACTGAAACAACTACCACTTCTGCTTCCAGCACTACCCCTGAGGCTGCAACCACAATAGCCACCAGTGGGACTTCCACTGAACCTGCAACCACCATGACCACTAATGGTTCAAGTGAACCCACTGCTGCAACAAATTCTAGCACTACCACTGAGGCTATGACTACGTTGGACAGCAGTCCTGCTGCTGCTCCTGAACCTGTAACCACTACAGCAACAGATACCACTTCAACTGGAGCTACAACCATCACTACAAGTGTAAATAATTTTCTATTGCGCTTATAGTCATGAGTTCAAGGTGCATATTAACTGATCCTTTGATCACAATAACTTTTACTGATACTCTTAGGAAATTACAATACTAGTTCACCTTTTTCTTATTCACTATCAAGAACCCCTGTCACTTCAGTTTTAGGTATAACTAAAATTTGTTCAACAGTTTCATCTCAAATTTGAAGAATTTCTATTTCACATGAACCTGTAATTAGCATCTGTTTAACAGTATCTGTGGACACTGATATTTGTTCTTCAACTGAATGGACATAACTCACAGTAGGTATTTGAATTTAGTGACTGAATTAGTGAATGAATCTAGTCTGTCTTCTAACTCAACTAAAACATCACCTTCAACCTCTACTACCACCTCCTCAAGTAAAAATGAAATCCACACAGATGCTACCAGCTCAACTGACTTCACAATCACAACAGCATAATGACTTCAGCTGAATTCATAATCTCCAAACCAGCATTGCCTGTTCTTAGAAACTAATCATCACCTTCTAAGTAATCTAACATAATACAGTTAGCAATTCTATTTCCCCTTCAAATGAGTGCATAGGCACAACATTACTTTAAGAAAATGTGCTAGCACCATAACTTCTGATATTTCACAGCAGGGAACACCTCACTGACCGATCATACAACCATGTACCATTTCTATGCATCATCATTTCTGCCATACTTACCTCCTGCTACAACAGACATAACTTCACTAGACCCCTCCATACCTTATCCCCTGAATCAGTAAATGCTGTGACTTCTGATGACATGTGATTGAAGGCCATTCATTACATATTCATCTGAACCAAACGCTGCCTTTGTTAATGGTAAGCTCAGTGAGTCATATCATCACTCCTACTTGACATAAATGGCAAATTCCTAGTGACCTCTTCCACTGCAATGATAATTAGGATGCCGACAAATCAAATCCTGACACCCACTGTCATCACTCCTGCACTGGAAACTTGGTCTACTATTGGTAACCGTGGCCAGCAGCTGCCCTCATGTAACTATAACCACTATCAAAGTAACCACTCCACAATGAGATTTACTTAATGACCAGTTCAACTGTCATCATAACAATAATGAATTTTACCACTAAAATAGCATTTAGATTTTACAGTAACATTAATTTGACCCAACCATTTAACATGAAGAGTCTGTATTTTTGTGAGGTTTTCAATAATACAGTTTTCACGCAAAGAAAATCCAATCTATTTATATATTTTGAAAACTTGTTGTGTTTCAATAAAATGTTACCAAATATAAATATAGTCATTTTTTATTCCAAAATTTTAGTATTTAATACAAAATTAATATGTATAGGGAATGGATATTCTATATGGTGAGGGTGTGTTAAATACATTTATGTATTACCACACTTAAGTTTGTGTAAAATTAGTTTTATTCCAGTTTCTCTTTAAATTATTTTGATTTTAAATATTTATAAATGTGTTATTTTCAAAGTAATAAATTTGTTTTCTATTTTGTTGCAGTAATCTTATAAACCTACTCAATTAAATATGTTTAGTAAGCATTTACTTGTTCCTGCTATCTGCTGAAATCCCAGAGGATATTCAGAACAAGAAAATAGCAATGGAGATAGTAATACACCCACCACTTTGAGTTCTGTTATTTAGAGTTCTTGGTAACTGACAGGTTTATGTTCGTGTTATGGCACTTGCATTCCACCACAGTTCCACTGGGTCAGAACTATCGAGGATGAGCCATGAAGCTGTACTTTTCAAAAAGTAGGCAGGCCAGACGGATAACCACTGGTGGGAGCAGTAAACTCAGAAGGGCATTGTGACTTGTTCCATCTTTTGGATGGTGCTAATGAGGTTGATAGAAATTAGGAAATACGTTTTTTAAGCAGTGATAAGAGTCAGTCGCCGTACATCGGTTTTAACTGTAACTGTAAGCAAAGGGTGGCTGGACGGTGTGTACAGCACGAGGCTGGGAGCTGGCAGGAAGTGCCCGGGGCCCAAAAGGAAAAGTGCGTACTCAGCAACTTAAAACGCATGTTTCAATAGCCACTATCTAATTAGAAACCACTTATAACTCTTCTTTCATGTCAGTTTGACAGAGGTACTTTCCTCCTATTTTGCTAGCTTACTTACTGTAATTACATGCAACGAATGTAATAAAATTTTACTAAAACCCTTTCCCTTTAATTCCTTCCTTCATTATTTTTTTCTATTAGTAATCTTTGTGTAACTTATTGAACTGATGGAATTCACTGACGGAATTCTCCTCTGTTTGTTAGGAAGGCACCACTTTTACTATTTTCAAATTTTATATCTCTGCGGGGACCTGGCTTCTCTTTCACCAGTGTGTGCACCTGGGAACTAAATAAAGTAGATAATAAATATTTGTTCGGTAAATAAAAATAGTGACAATTACAAAAATTTATTACCAAGTAATATTTTTAGAATTGGAATTATACTGTTAAATTATCGTTTAATATACTTTTTATTTTAATCTGTGCCAATACTATTCTAGTTAGTACTTTTCTAAAGAATTTTCAGCTGAGTACAACACATGACAAAAAGTGCACCAGTTGTAAAGTACAGCTCAGTGAATTGGCACCAAGCAGGCACACTCAGACCCCAATAAAGACAGGTGGAACATGACCAGTACTTCCGAAGTCCCTGTGCCCACACCCAGTCACCACCCCCTTTTTCCTCCCCCCAAAGTGAACACTGTCCTGATTTCTACCACCATGGACTGCTCTGTCCATTCCAAACACAGTAGAAATGGAAAGGCACTCTTTTGTGTCAGACACCTGTAGCTCAGACTTTTATTTTTGAGATTAATGCGTATTTTGGCTTCTACTAATGACTGCTTCACCATCATTGTACTGAGTCAACTCATTACATTGCCACGCCATGCTTTATTGGTCCATTATTTTGTTGGTAGACATTCAGGTTACTGTATTTTGCCATGTATAATGCACACCCTTATTTCTCCCTCAAAAATTTGGACAAAAAATGGCAAAATACAGTATTTCTAATTTTGGATATAACTAACATTATTGCTCTGTGCCACACTGCTGTATGTATCTTTTGGTATGCTTATCACACTTCAGGCTTTTACTAGAAAATAAGAGCTGAATCATAGAGTAAGAAAATGTTCAGTGTTAGGAGACACTCCCAGCTTTTCGCAAGATTGAAAACTACCCTCTCCCCGGCATCATATGAGAGTTCCGGTTACAGCACGTTCTCCCCGACGTGATTTTGGCAGCCCTTTCAACCAGTCTTTCTGGTAGAAGTGCAGCAGTGCGTATTCAGGTGTTTGCAACATCGAGGAGACTCAAGTGACAGTTTGTAACAACAGATGGCGCTGTGGTCATACTCCTTTTTGTTTAACCTCACCCGTTAAAAGTAACTATTGGAAGGCAGCTGTGCTCACCAGTATACCGCCAATGCCTCAAGGTGTGGGGATTTGGCCTGAGGGAGAGGGAGGGTCGGGCTGGAGGGGAGCAGAAGGGGAAAAACCGAGATTATTTAATAGCATACACAATAAAATACAATTTTAATTAAAAAATAATGGAAAATAAAGATGAGTTATTTGAAAAAATAATTATTGAACTTAGGTAGTCAAAAGACTAACTTTTGTCTTTTAAGAAGTGGGTTTTTAAGAACCTTAAATAATGAGGAACATGATCGTGGTGGCAAAACAATTAAGACCCTGTTGGGGAGAACTGGAGTCATTGTGTGTCTCTCTAGGAAGCAGGGTCGGGGCGAAGTCACCACGAGGAAACCCTTGCCTCAGCAGAGAGACGAGCGGTCCAGCAGGAGAGCCTGCGGGAAGGAATGTCGGACCCTGAAACGGGTGGACTCCCGCTCACTGCCAGCTGCGCACACGGGCTGCCCCAGTGAGCAGAGGTCACCCTCATCTCCTGGAGTCTGACCTAAATGTGTAGGGGCCTCTGAGCTCGATAGTTATATATTTTTATAAAAACAGAGTATTATCCACAATTAACCGCAATTATTACCTAAATGAAGTTTGAAATGTCTAATCAAAAATCGAAGTTTACATGTATGACAAATTGTGATAAGATTAGAGGGTAAACGCCAATAGAACTAGTGCTTATTTGTCTGTTTTCCATATTGTTCTATGAATCTCCATGGCCCAGAAAATGGTCTGACATGTACTATATTCTCCATAAACATTTGCTCGATGACTTAAAAAGTTGTCCTGTCAATAAAAGCACCTTTGACATTTCTAAGTAGACTCAGAATGGAATCTAATAATATTTGGAATTAGAAAAAAGTCACCAATATGGATCAAACATTGCTTTTTTTTCCATTTTGAGTTTTAACGTTGCTCCAAAGTATTATCTAAATAAGCCTTCATGAATTCTAAATATTCCTGAATTTTAATACTCTTTTATTAATTTTATTTTTGAAATGACATTCTCTTGTAGACACTAGCAATTGAGTAAAAAAAGAACCCTGCTTACCTTTTATAATTACAAAAGAATGTGTGAAATTTTCTGTTTTTAAACTTCTACACTTAATTATTTTATGCACTAATTAAGTGAATACAAATTCTGATAGAGCTTTAAATCTTTTTGCACCTTCTGTGTATTTTTAAATGATTTTTTCATACCTATAAATTAGTGGAATAATATAAGAAATATAATTATCACTAACAGCACTATTTTTAAACCTCTTGTCTGGCTTGTTAGTTACCATGTCAATCAAATAATAAAAATCATGAACTAAAGTACCTTTGCCTAGACTCATGGTCATGGTCAACTTCATGGTCAGTGTGGTGAGTGCTGGGGGGAGGTGGATATAAGGGGACTAAATGGTAATGGAAAAGAATACAATAAAGCTAAAAAATAAAATAAAATACCTTTGCTTAAGAATTGCCAAAATCAGAGAATATTAATGAACATAAAGGCAAAAATTAACAGTAATGCAATAATAATTGGACTTGAATACTCCACTTAACTCAGTGGATAGGCTATCCAGGCAGAAAATTAAGAGGGAAATAATGATCTTACATGTCACATTAAATCATTTTGACTTAATAGATATTTATGGAGCATTTCATCCCCAAACTGCAGATTACACATCTTTTTTTCACAAGCATATGGGACCTTTTCCAGGATAGAAAAGGCACAGTAGGCCATGGAACAAGCCTCAGCGCATTCAGGAAGATTGAAGTTGCCTTGAACCTATTATTCTTTGACCACAATGGCATGAAAGTACAAATCCACTATAGGAAGGAAATGGAAAAAAATACAAACATGTGGAGACTGGACAACATTCTTCTAAACAATCAATGGATCCACGAGGATCTCAAACAGGAAATTAAAGCCTACCTTGAGATGAATGAAAATGAAAACACAACTTTACAAATTTATGGCAGTCAGCAATAGTTATAAGAGGAAAGTTCATAGCTATATAAGCTTACTTCAAGCAGCAGAAAAAATCCCAAATAAATGATCTAAATGAATACCTAAAGGAATGAGATAAAGAAGTATAAACAAAGCCATAAGTAAGTGGAAGGAAATAAACAGTAGCAATAAGAAAAATAGTAGAAAAACAGTAGAAAAAAATCTATGGGAATAAGAGCTGGTTCTTTGAAAGGATAAATAAAATTGACAAGCTTTGTAGCAAGACTCATCAAGAAATGATTTGACTTATATGTAGAGTATAATGCACAAAAATAGACCAAATAGAAATGGGCTTTGGGAGGCTGGGTGAAATAGGGTAGGGGATTAAGCAAAAAAAAAAAAAAAAAAGACACAGACAACAGTGTGGTGAGGACCCAAGGGAAAGGAATTGGGGAAAGACAGAAGAGAGTAAAGGGGCATAAACAGTGAAAGAGACTAGACTTTCGGTGGTGAACACAATGCAACACACAGATGATGTGTTACACAACTGTACACTTGATACCGATACAATTTTATTAACTAGTATAACCCCCATACATTTAATAAAGAAGAAATAGAACACAAAATCAGAAATGAAAACAAGATGACAACCTACACCACAGAAATACAAAGGATCATTAAAGAATACTGTGAGCAATTGTATGCCAACATATTGGACAGTCTAGAAGAAATGAATAAATATCTAGGAATATACAACCTTCTGAGACTAAACCAGGAGGAAGAAGGAATCTGAACAGACCAATTACTAACAATTAAGTTGAAACAGTAATCACTTAATCTTTATGGAAATGGAATCATGCAGTTTGTATTACTAGTTTGTGTTTGATTTCTTTAACTCAGCATTATGTCTGTGACTTGTATAGGGTGTCACAGTTGTTTCTGGGCCCTGAGAGACTGAACCATGGGACATCAAGTAACTATATGGCCTTAGCTTTCTGTTACAAGCTATCTACCAAGGCGTGAGGTTGGGCATGGGCATCAGTCAGTGCACACTGTCAAGAGGAGGTACTGTATCTGTCCCAGGTGTCAGTGAAAGCAGATATGCTGTGTGGGCCTTAAGACCCAGCAGATCCAGTAGAGGCCCAGGAGACTGTGGAAATCCGAGATGTAGACTCTAACCTCTCGTAAGCTGCGCTCAGAGAACCCAGCATTGTGTACCATAGTGTGTCATAGTCTGCAGATGACTAGTCTCCATCTGGAGCAGCTGCAGCACCTTCTCTTGAAGGTGTACACTGATTCACTCGCCCAGCTTCAGTGACTTGGTGGATTAGGTAACACGCGTTCAATCTGACAGTTTCATGGGTTACTAATGGGTTAATAAATGAGTCAGGGAAACCCATTAAACAATAGTATATGTTGCCTACCAAATTTAAAAGTCTCACCCAGCAATATGCCACTGACATAGTGGACATAAAAGATAAAGCGCCTTTCACTTGAGAACGTTGTCTCGTGGGTCTTTCCGAGTCTACAGAGGACAGAGTCCACAGAACTTCCCAGAGACCATGGTGCTGCCCCCACTGACCTTGTTTCTCACTGTGTGACCAAAGGCTTATCATCTGGGACCTATCATGGCGTGGATTGGAAACACATGTGACAATATAACTTTCTATATTTACCATCTTCATTCATCAACTTTGTTTTTTTTAAAGATTTTATTTATTTATTTTTAGAGAGGGAAGGAAGGGAGAAAGAGAGAGAGAAACATCAATGTGCGGTTGCTAGGGGTCATGGCCTGCAACCCAGGC